CCCATATAACCAATGAAGAACTACAACAAAATAACAACCAAACCATCAATCTGAACAAAAAACTGAAACTTGGCATGTGGGAATTCACAAAAGGATCCAAAGTTGCAGTCTTTAACCAAATAAAGACACCAAAATCAGCCTAAAGGATTTTTTTCCCATTACAACCAACCAAGAACTACAACAAAAACAGCAACCAAACCATTAATCTGAACAAAAAATTAAAACTTTGCATGTGGGGTATTCACAAAAAGATCCAAAGTTGAAATCTTCAACCAAATAAAGCTACCAAAATCAGCCTTAAGGCCTTTTTACCATTACAATCAACCAAGAACTACAATAAAATTAACAATCAAACCATCAAAATTACATATTTTTGTTCTGAACAGGGAAAATAGACAAAAATTGAAACTACTCTATAACTTTGGCTAAAAACTAGGCATCAATAGGCATGTGGGTGTGAATCTTCAAGATCCAAATCAGAATCTGAAGACAAAGAAGATGATGATGAAAAAGAGGGAAAAGATAGATAAGGGTTTGGTAAAGGGAAACAAAAAAAAGTCCACAAACAAAGAGCAAATCTCCTAAATTGTTGACATGGAAAACAAAAAAGAAGATAAAGGACTTCATCACTGCTGAGTCTTTCTGGATTACAAGCTATGTATTGACACAAATCTGCAGATACATTAGCCACACCAACAATTATTGGACTACTGAACACCATTTTGTCCAAATTTATTTTTGAAATTTCTTCTCTTTGATTATTCACTTTTTATGCTGAAATTTTTTGCAAGATTTTGTAGGTGTCAATGGATTGACATGAAGAAGTTTCTTATGTTAAGTGTTTTTTCTTGTTTTGGTTTGTTTGGAGACTTGCTTAGGGATAGGAAAGTGGGAGAAAAAGGGGAAAAAAACAAAATTTTAAAGGGAAATTAGTTTATGTTTTATTACTAGGGAAAAATAAAAAAAAAACAAGAAAAGGCTAGAAATGGTAATTAAGTATTTTTTTTTTCTCCTTAAATTAAAATTGTGGGTTTTAAAAAGGAAAAAAAATAAATGTCATTATTTTATTGTATTTATTTCTCTTTTAGAAAGGGATAAAAAAAATGTGAAATTAGTAGTAATATTTAAATTTCATTAATAATTTGGTACAGTTATACTCTTGTTATTGTTATATAAGTGAAATGAATAGAGTATATCTTATTATATTTATTCACTTTTAAGTCGTCGACGAGTTTTATCCTAATGATACACCCATTGTGATGTCTATTTTCTATCTGGACCTCAGATTGATTACATAAATAATAATATGTAATAAAACATTACGTAATTGACGTTAATTTGTTTGACGTTGAAACGTAATTATTATTATTTAAAAGATCTTATCACAATGCTTGACTATGCAATTGTAGGATATGATAGATATTGAATTGGAACTTTGAAAGCACAATTTTATACTTGTCAAACTAATTATCATTCAATGCATATATAGCCATCACGCAAACACAAAAATCTCTAGACTTCTTCTTAAGTTTACTTTTAGAGCATAAAAATATACCCCTCCGTCCCATTTTATATGTCATCCCTTCCTATAAATAGCTTGATTATAATACTTGTCATTTTATAAAATTTATGCATAAATTACCATATTTTGCCTATTATACCCTTGATAGAATAGTTAATTAATCTTGTCATTTATTAATAAAGTTGACTTAAGAAAACAATAAATAAGGGTAGAAGGGTAAAATTACATCACTTCTTAATGCAAGTGCAAAGTAAAAAGGTGACATATAAAATGGAACGGAGAAAGTATTATTCAGGAAGAAATTCAATGATCAAGTTATGAAATAAAGGAAACAGTTGAGTATAAGTCTCCACAAGTTTTGACTTCGTCGCTGAAAAATTCACACGAAAGAAAATGAAGAATTCTCAATAAAAACAATAGGTAATCTTTAAATCAAATGTAAAAGTAGTTTTTCATTAAACATCTTCTTCTCTTTTTTTTCTGTAACTTTACTCTCAACCTGCATTATATATTCAAAAAGATCCACTTTGAGCCACTTCACAAGCTACATAACAGAAATATGATTATTTAGGGTCTGTTTGGAAAGCCACCTGGTAATTGGAATTGGTGTAATTACTAGGGTAGTAATTACTAGCCTAGTAATTACACAGTCTAGTAATTACATTGACCTGTTTGGTTGCCACAGTGTAATTACAGTGTAATTCCCTTTGTCCCGTTTGGTTGGACGAATGTAATTACACAGTTAAATTTTAAAATAGATCAAATTTTGAATAAATAATATTACTATGTATAACTAATTGTTAGAATCGATTTTTTAATTTTTTTTTTTTATTATTATTATTATCAGAAATTAAAGAAAAAAAATTAATTCTCATATTTATTTTAATCTCAAAACTAACAGGAGAAAATACAAAAATAAAATTCATACATAATCTACCTAGACATCAAAATATGAAAGTAAAATGAATCAAGAAATAAATCTTACTTGAAAGAAGAAGTACATGGCTTCTTGTTGTGTTGCCGAAGTGCCTTGGTATTCCAAACAAAAATATATTAAAAAATTCATGTAATTACATGGTGTAATTACACTCAATTCCTTACTCTCCCTTGGGAATTGAGGAGTGTAATTACTCCCCTTCAATACACCCAATTCCCCTCTTACCAAGTAATTACTTGGTCTACCAAACAGGACAAAGAGAGTAATTACACCAATTACACCAATTCCCAATTCCATTGTGGCCTTTCAAACAGGCCCTTAAAGTGAATTCACTCATAATTGACGTCAAACTTATTGGGTCTCATTAACTCAAAAGAATGCGGACATAAAAGCTACATGAACCTTTTCATCTTGCGCTTACTTATATATATTTTTTCTCTTGATTTCCATCCTGATTAGAGCCGCCTAACTATTTTTTCTTGGTCCTCCTAATAAGATTTTTTTCATATCCACGACTTGAAATTCGAATACAATACCTCTTGATCTTACTTACAAGTTAATAATCATATTTTACTACTTACCCAACCAATTCTACCCCATATCTTATGCTTTTTGTTTGTAATATTGTAAGTAGTATTATATTGTGTGTGTTTTTTTCAATAAATAAAAGGAGAAAAAAACAAAACAAAGAAAATCGCTTTAATTTATTTATTTTATCTTTTTGAAAATTATTTTTTCTATTATGACCAAAGAAGTAATTTTTTCATCTAGCTCATCGGACTACTGTTCTGTCTCTTCTCTTTTGGGGTTTCTTAAATCTCTCAATTTTCACCCGATTAAAATTTCAACTGGTAATTTTTGCTATTTTTTCTATTTTCCTCTTTTATGAATTTGATTTTTGATTATGCTGTGTATCTTTGTTTATGGGTCTGAGAGTTATTTGGGTATTTGCCTATTAAATTTTACCATAATTTAGTAGTGTTTTTCTGTAATTTTTTTTGGTTAATTGTGTTAAAGTTATCATCTTTTTTTTTGTAATTACTACTGAATTATACAGTTTGAGTATTACAAATGAGGACCTTTAGGTTTTATAATGGCTGTTTGAATTTGCTGTCTATGTTTATCCTTGAAATGGGAATTAGAAGAATGATTACTGTCTCTTAGATATGTGGTAGCAGAGGCGGAGCCAAGATTTGATTTTTATGCATTCGGGATTTTAGTTCTTTTCTCCACCTTCCCGAGGCAGGGGTAAGGTTTGCGTACACTCTACGCTACCAAGATACCACTTGTGGGATTACACTGGGTATGTTGTTGTTTTAGTAGGTCTTTGAAGTTATTGGGTTCTAAATTAGTAATGTTTATGTATTCTGTGGATTTTTTGAGACAAATACAGGATTTGAACCAAACTACTTGGTTCGGTTGAACCTGTAAGCTCTAGCTGAGGATTTTTGCCCGAGATGCTAAAAATGATCACTTTGTGAATCTCACAAGCATTCTTTACACACCCTTATGCTAGTTGTAAGATAAAGAATGAATATTTGTAAGGAAATATGATGTAAACAATTTATCCAATATGATGCTCATAGAATTGTTCTTTTATTGAGTATTTTGTATTTTTCCATTTCCGCAGGTAATGCAACTCAAGGTAGCGATGGAAGATTAAATAAGAGCAGTTTATAACATGCAGACCTATCTCTTTTTGGCTCCCACTTCCATTGATAAAGGTGGTAGCTCCAACCAGAACTTTTCGTTTGGACCATGGGCGTGGCCTAACAAGCGCATAGGTATTTTTCACCCTCGTACCCAAGTTTCAGCATCTGCTATTGGTGGCGGGCAGCAGAGCCACTATAGTGTGCTTGGTGTTCCACACAATGCTTCTTCTGTTGATATAAAAAAGGCCTATCGTCTTCTTGCTCTCAAGGTACCACCATACCCTTTTGGCATAGATGTTCCGTAGAAATATACAAGGAGAAGGAAAGAAGAAGGCATTTTAGGCGGTTATTGGATATTATAACACAATTGAACCTTTGACTTTTGGATACCTGACTAGCAATATTTGTTGCTTTATTTAATTGTCTTTGTTGTTTGACAATACTGATTAGTTACCGAATGAAAAAATGAAAATAATAATAATGTAATTGATGTATCATTCTATTTCTTCTTTTTAGAAAAGATTGTAACTGAGAATTATTTAAGGCAACCGTGAGTGAGAATTTGAGATGAAGTGCTTCAGTCTTTAATTGGGTAAAGCATTATCATTATGAGAAACTTCTGAAGCAGAAATGTGGTACGCCCTCCGTCTTAATCTAAGTGTCTTAGTTTGACTAGGCACGGAGTTTAAGAAATAAAGGAAGACTTTTGAGTCTTGTGGTCCTAAATTAAAGATGTGTGTAGTCCTTAAAACCTTGTGGTCTTAAACTTACCATGTAGTATGTCAGAACTGAAAAAACTTTCTAATATTGGAAGAGACACTCTTTTTGTGACAAACCAAAAAGGAAAGTAAGACACTTAATTGGGACAGAGGGAGTAATAAACAACGTGAAGGTTTCACATATAATATGGAATGAGACAGAAAGTAGGATGTAAGTCAGTTACTTCCTGACCTGTCATACAAACAAGAGGAGGAGAAGAACAATATATCACCTCAACCAATGCCTTCCTTTTTCTCCTCCTTCCGAACAGAGTTTGCCATTGACAAACAGTCCTATGAGGTTGTAGTGGTTGTTGCTTTGTCCTGCTTATCTGCCAAAATATCTTTTTAAGATTGTGGAGCTATGGAATTTTTTTGTTCAGGGTAAAAAGGCATGAATAATTATATTTCATGTCTGTTGTCAATATGGTTGGCTCTTTTGTCTTGAACTTCTGTTGGCTTACAAAAGGACTGCCTTCTTGTATGGTTACATTTCAATGCTGTTCTCAAGTACAATGTTCTTCTCTAAAAGATTGGAACTTTTCCAGGTAAGGTAGCGTGCATGTTTCTTTCCGAATGATGTGAAGAAATCCCTGTTCCCTTTCCTGCATTTGTGATCTTCTTTTTTTGAAAAGCTTTGTCTTATACTATCAATTTCCCGTTCAAAAGTTACTGACTCTCATTCTCAAAATAATTGTTCGTACATCATAAATGCAGTATCATCCTGATGTTAGCAAGGATTCAGGAGCTGATGAGGTTTTCAAGAAAATCCATCATGCATATGATGTGAGTCACTCCTTCTTGGCTTTCGGTATATTAATCTCTTAATTATTGAACTTAGAATTCATATTTAAGCTATTGTGTATTTTGACACTGTCATTTAAACCCTCTTGAGAGTGAGAAAGGTGGGTTGGCACCTTTGCCTGGGGACGGGGTGAGTAGGAGAGGGGAAAAATGGAAGTGGAGGTATCTTTTATACTAATATTCTTACATAGCATTCCCATTTATACATATTTCTGCAATGCTCTTCTTCCTTCCGTCCCTCTCTCTCTCTCTCTCTCTCTCTCTCTCTCTTACTCTCTCTCTCTCTCTCTCTCTCTCTCTCTCTCTCTCTCTCTCTCTCTCTCTCTCTCTCTCTCTCTCTCTCTCTCTCTCTCTCTCTCTCTCTCTCTCTCTCTCTCTCTCTCTCTCTCTCTCTCTCTCTCTCTCTCTCTCTCTCTCTCTCTCTCTCTCTCTCTCTCTCTCTCTCTCTCTCTCTCTCTCTCTCTCTCTCTCTCTCTCTCTCTCTCTCTCTCTCTCTCTCTCTCTCTCTCTCTCTCTCTCTCTCTCTCTCTCTCTCTCTCTCTCTCTCTCTCTCTCTCTCTCTCTCTCTCTCTCTCTCTCTCTCTCTCTCTCTCTCTCTCTCTCTCTCTCTCTCTCTCTCTCTCTCTCTCTCTCTTACACACACACACCGAGAGATGGATACATAATTTGAATTGTACATAATCATGTCTCTGCTTTAAAACTGACAATTTCCAGCCACGGGTTCTGTAACTTCTATTCTCTATGCTGATATGATCAACTTTGGAACGCTGCAGGAGATTGATGTAGCAATTCATGTTAATATAGTATCTCACGATAGTTTCTAAAAGTTTTCCTGATACTAGGTATCACAAGCACCCAAAGAAATAGCTTTAAAGGAAGAAGTTTGTATCTATTATATTGCAGGCAAAGTAATAGCTTCAGTTACCCGATTATCACACAATAGTGAGCTATTGCAGATACTGTTATCAAAGGCAAAAAGTGTAAAAAAAGGTCTAAGGTCCATTGGGGCTTTAAGCGCAAAACTCAATGAAAGTGTGTGCTTTAATAAAGAAAGTCACAAATGGAGAAAAATACAAATATGTCTGAGTAGTCCAAGATTAATAATTATAAATATATGGACAAAGAAATTATGAGAAAGCGAATTATCAAATGTTTATTGTCGCCTCTTCAGGATTAGCTCATTGACAGAGGAAAAATATGTCATAGAGACTTAAAAGTTAAAATGACACTGAAGCACCCGCTAAGTGAGGCGAAACGCTCAACATGTTGTGCCTCACTTCATGGGCCATGGCTTAAGCGGGCCTTTGACAATACTGAAATGATCACAGATCAAGTATTTTTTTTGTATTTCTCTGTCATATTGCATTTTCATTGCTTGGATATGGAAGAAAATATCTGGAAATTGAATTGGTCTCAAAGGTCGATACTCTGTTAACTCTTTTTCCTAAACTGGAGTGCAAACTAATGCACCAAGTGATTGATGATTTTTTGTCTAGAGGCCACCTAGCGGATAAACTGTTGCTTACTATTATTGCTACATGATTTATACATATGTTTTTTAAGAACAACCCTTCTAGAATATTTGTTTGTAAAAATAAAAGTTACATGCGTTTTCCTAGATACAACTTGTTTAAAAAATATGGCATTTGCATCTATGCATTAAACTTAACATTGTATTTTTTTCTCTTACCTATATATTTTTTGAACTTGACACTGCTAGCTGTCTCAAATGTTAAATACTTTTGCTTTCATGACAGTTTTTGTGTAATAAAGGCTGAGTCTGGCTTTGTCAGGTATTATCTAATGAATCATCAAGAAATCAGTATGATCAGGTGCTTCGACATCAGGATTATACCGACAGGCCTTCGGGGGGATATTGGGAATACGACTTTGAATATGACGATGGCATAAGGACCTATAGGTGGGCTGATCTCAGACGAAAAATGCAAAGAGAGAGATACTGGGAAAGGTATCATACAGGGGAAAACTTCTCGTCTTATTATGATGAAGTCAAGGAGTCTGAAGAAGAAACTCTAGATGAAGAAAGAGGTCCATTCGCGGAAGTGCTCAGATCTGCCTTCCTCTCTTTATTCCTAATGTACACCATAGGTATTCGTCTATCTTTGACATTTAGTAGCCTCATGGCCTTGCTTGATCGAAAGTTGGACTCCGGATACAAGATTGGTTACCTAGTTGCATGGATTTTGGGAGGCAGAGGTGGTGTTCTACTTACATTATGCCTTTCATTTGCAAGTTGGCTTTGTGGCAAAACAAGCAGTAGCGTAGTCGCGTTGGTGGTTATTGCTGTGTGGGTCGGATCCAATGTTGCTAGATATGCTCCATTTCCACAAGGTGCCATTCTTACACTGTTTTACATGTCAATCAAGTTACAAGTTGATCTTAGCTAAAGCATCTGCAACAGAGTGATCACTTACTGAAGATGCCACTTTTTCTGTCTGTAAATTTGCTCACTGTTAACTTTTATTCATGTTTCTTATAGTATAGTCTATAATAGTTTCTGTATGTAAATTTTCACAATCAAATTTTTTATATGTTCTACAACTTGTTCATATTCATCTTTAACCAGCAAGATTGAAATATAAGTTGCTAGTCCCTAAATTGCATTTTCCATTTAATTAGTTCTCAAAAGCACCCTAGGTTGTGGCCTATAATGGTCAATTAAGTGGAAGGAGAATCATGTTATTTTAGGTTCAAGTCCCAACGGATTCACAAAAAAGATAGGTGATTTTTTCACATTTGTCTAAGCCTTGGTGGACAGATTACCTGACACCAGTGGCGGAGCCACCTTACAATGAGGGGGTTCATCCGCACCCCTTTCGGTTGAAAATTATATGATTTATACATGGTTAAAATAGTTTTTTAGGTATATATAGTAGATGTTGAATCCCCTTCGGCAACTTCGTGTGTCTATTTTTTTAGATTTTGAACCCCTTATTGATAATTCTGGCTCCGCCACTGCCTGACACCTGTGTTAGGAGATGACATGTAGTGGTTCAATTGTCAAGATGTGTGCAAAACAACATATCGCGATACATTAACGACCAAATGTAAAATTTATTGTTTGTTAATTCATGATGAATCTTCATAATACAATGTTAATATTACATTAACACAAAATGGGAATAAATTCTGCTCTAGATGTAGGGTACTATCAAATGCTAAAAAAACATTATAGTAGCACAAAATCAACCTCCAAAACCAATGGAAAAAGGAATCTTCATTGGATAATGTGCTGTTTTTATGGAATCTAATAGATTCTGAGGAGGATTTCCATCTCAAGATTCCCTTCCCATTGGAACCATCTTTTTCATCTCTTGTCACATTCCCTTCTTCTGATTGGCCTAAAACATATGTTTTTGTTTTACTATCTAACACTTACATAAATGTGCACCAAATTTCCAAATATAATACTTTCTTCTCATTATTGAGGTGGGTGATTTATGTTAAATTTTGTATTCTATCACATAAAAAGAAAGCCCTTGTTCAAGTAGAAGTTATCATTGTGTTGACAGGCAGAGTCAAAATTTAAATTTTATGTGTTCTGAATTTTAAAATGGCTACTTCAAGTTTTAATAATTGGGTCTTAAACTTATTATTTTATACATATTTAATAAATCTTTTAAACATATATATAAACACTATTAGGTTCGGTCGAAACCGTAGTTGTGCTTCTATCTCCCGCCCCAGGAAATCATTGGGTTCAATAGGTCTATTACAGAAATGAAAGATAAAATTATATGCAAAAGATCTAATATAAAATCTTTCTTCGAATGGGAACCATTCATAATGAAAGGTTAGTGCATATTATATTTTTCCTCAACTTTTTGACCTTCATTAGCATAAAAGTTATAAAACTATTAAGGAGTTAAAAAAAGAAAGAAAAAAAAACACTCCAATACTTAGAAGACTATAAGTTCAAGGGACACTTCTTCATTATTGGTGACCCTTCTGATTGTGAATGGTGTATTTTTAAAGCAATGTCACGTACAATAAGTGCACAAAAAAATAAAAATAAAAATTAAAAATTAAAACTCAACTTTTAATCATTTTTTTAACGAAGGTAGATGAATTCAGTCGCTATAACTATATTTATAGTGAAAAAAAATATTCCAATAATTAATGATTGGATAATTAAGACTTTTAACGACCAAATTTTCATTCACTTTTTTTTTTTTTTTTTTTTGTAGTCACTATTTGTTTATAATTTATTTCCAAGAAGGGATAGATATTTAGTTCCCTTTTATGATAAACTTTTACGTTCGATGATTATTTTCCTTTTCGAATAAGGACTTTTCCTTATTTTCCTTGTTTTATTTGTTCCTTTCTTGGTTAGAATTGAGATTCGTTATCTTTTTTCCAATTGTAATAGCTATTTATATTTGGTACCTTAGGTTTTATAATCTTTTTTTTTGTGAATTTGTGATTACAAGCAATTTTGTGAGGTTGAAAAACAAGAACTCTCAAATCAATTTCAAGCTCGAATTTTTTTCAAGGTAATTTTTTCTTTTTTAATTTCATATTTTTCTTATGTTTTGCTTATTATTTGTTGGGGATGATTAAATTCATATATTAATTGTTTAGTTTGTCGTTAACATGCATGTTCACCTCATGAAATTACTTAGCTATGGTAATTTATACGATTTGGTACGGTAAAAATTTGCATAGTTATATCAAATCAGGAGTCCGGAGCCTAAAGGGCAAAAAAAATGGTCAAAAATTCCAAAAGGGCACATCACTTTTTATTTTAGCCAAAAGGGCAAAATCGCTGCCCTAGCAGCGATTTCGTCTAAAAAAAAATTTTATTTTTTTTTATTAAAAATCGCTGCTGTGGCAGCGATTTTGTAAAAAAA